TCTCTAACTTCAACCCTTACATTCCAGAGTGTATACCCCTATTTTACTCTGATTCCAAATTTCCAATGACTCGTCCGGAGAAAATCTCAAAGCGTAAAGCATTCAACAAGGTATTTGAATCCCTTCCTCACCCAGTCCCCAAGCTAATGACCATCCCTTGCATGTTCCTTACAGGCTATTCGAGCACGTGCGGCCGAGGAGCAAACCTCTTTCGTATCTGTTTTATTGAGGACTCTTGATGTTCAGGGAACACGTCCCTACCGTTCCAAGCTAAACCTCCCAACCCACCCCGATCGCCCCACGCGGCGCAACATGATGGGCCGTGACCAGCTTAAAGATACCGACACCTACCCCAACCATGACCGGGAACGCCCAACCCACAACCAGGATGGGTTTGAGCAAGAGAAGAAGACGATTGTAATTGATTTGATGGCTATTGCAAAACCTGCTAAGGTCAAGGGTACGGCTTTCCCTTCAGTTATCGCATAACCTTTGTCTGAGATACTTTTCTTATTGTCAAAGGTATCGCAAAGGAGTTTGAAGTTGTGAAGAGGATTAAGGATGTCATTGTTCTGGAAGATCATGTTGAAGACAATGATTTTGATGGGGACGGCTGGGAGGCAGTTAATTATGATGTCGGATGCACTGAGAAGCGAACATATTCTGCGGCACTGAGCGGAAGGTAATTGTTGGGCTATATAGATTGGTGTGGTTAGCTAGCAGGCGTCTTCTCCCAACTGTTCGAGTTTGAGAAGTGTCGTAGTATACCGAATTCAGGCTAGTTTAGAGGTTTCAATGTGGAACAAAAGGAAAGACGTTCAAGTGATGAACGAGTGAGGGGAGACAAAAGATAATTCCGAGACATGCAGATATGAATATTCTCTGATAGAGAATCGCGCGAATTCGACTCCGGGTCATGCTCCCAGCCAGTATGATGGAAGAGGTTATATAATAAGCGCACAATATTTGTAGACCAAAGCCTTTCGAGGATCACCTCAGAGCTATTTTGAGGGTGCAAACACAGTCATCAAATGGCCTCAGATTTACATTGTCCCAAGTCGTAATGACTCTCAATGTAAATACGTAAATGGTTTGATGCTTGTTAGACGGACGGTACCCTACTTCGTAGTTCCTTCGGCGCTCCTCAGGGAATGAGGAAGCGGAACCCCTGTATCGAAACGATGTTCGACAAGAGCGTCAAAGAGGCTAAGCGCCGAATCTCCGCCTTGCTCAAGCCGGTGGTACGACTCGTCTCTAAGGTCCCCCGCCCACAGCCCGCTCTTCAGTTCCATCTCTCTGGTATCTCCCACACCTCTTTCCTGGTCCCACATCGTTGTTGCAACGTGAATCCTATCTAACGGCATGTCCCGTTCTGTAAAGGCAGTCCTGAACGTAGAGGAATATGCACGGGCAATGCTCGAGGTCCGTGCGTCGGAAATCCGATGAAAAAAGAGAAAGGCACTAGGCTTGACCTCTTCTTGCCTTTTGAGGGTGCCGTTCCAACTCCACAGAATGCAAATCAGGGATACATCTTTCCGGTGTCGTTGACGGCCGCTTACCGGTTCTGTGCATTAAACCATTCACCCAATAGTTCCAGGACGTCACCGTCACCGATATCATATCCTGGAGTATCGATTACGATCACATTGCCTGATTGTAGGTGCTTCTCATATATCTTTAACCGAGTCGTGCAAGGGGAGGGACCATCGCCTATTTTGACCTTACGTCCGGTGACATGAGCAACGAACTATAATTGTCAGCTTTCACATAATACTGCTACAGCGCATCGGGGCCCACCGAGCTTTTTCCTGATCCACTGGGTCCCAGTAGACTCCAAGGCATATATTAGCTCCAGACCCTAGGGAAAGAGAACTGACCCACACTATGACACGTTTCCCTGCATGCGACTTGAAAAAAGAGCGGAAAGACTGGGATATCATGAGCGGTCATCAAGATGAAGGGAATCAAAGCTTTACCATCCATCGAGGTGTATGTAGTTCCGGGACATGATAGGCGTTTTTAGACTCGCTAAGCCTTAGCCTCGCGTCAAAACAATGGGCAACGGTGATACCTCAGGTCCTTACCGGCCACCAACGTCATATTCACGCACGCCTTGTGCGCGAACTCCCCGGTCAGGTTCCGGAGCCTGGTCGAATTAACATTCTGAAAACTCGTAGTACGATATCGCGCATAAACATACCGACAGAAGAGATTCGATGATCCTACTGGAGCTCCCCGGAGCTCCGTCATAACGTTGAACCGTCGCACCTTTCTTCAAAAGGGGGCCCCAGAGCTGCTCCTGGAGTAAGGCCTCACGGTTCGTATATTTAACCTTAAGCGCCTCGGGTATTTCGTCAGTGGGCCATAAACTTGTTACCAACACGACGCGGCGATAGAGAAATCCTTTGCCAGTGCCGAGCAGCTTGTCAAGTATTTGTTGCGTCGTCCGCATGTCAGCGCGATTAAGGTCGATGGGGTGTAGAAATACGATCCCATGAATATAATCGAAGCTGAAATGTCGGATGGACTCAGCATCCCTGAATAATTGAAGACTGCAGTGCATCTTACCGCCTACCTAATAGCTTCTGAACCCATCCATTCTTGGATGTCAGCCAAAATATCTTTCGAGGAGTTCGTCCCTGGGGTATCGACTAAGATCAAGCGCTTCCCCTGGATCGAGACCTGATGCTGATGTTCCTGAATAGCGCTTGTCACTGCCGGGGGCTCATTATCGACAGAACCCCCAAGAGAATCGCGTATGAACTTGAGGATAATGAGACCTGTAACCCCTCGAGGGCGTATTTAGGACGTACGGTACTCTTCCCAGATCCTGCAACTCCCAAAACACTGCATGGAGAAGTAATCAACAGAGGGAATTGACAAATAGTGGATATCACGCACAGAATAAAGGATGAACCGGAACGATCTGTAAAGCCTTCGGAGGACATTGAACTGGGAGGGAAGGGTTTCTGGGTAGACCAAAGCGCGCAACTTCACGGCTTATAAGACTGGGCAAAAGTGAGAGGCGCTCGTAACAGTTAACGCCCAATAAACGAGGCTCGAGGATCTTCTACCCGAAGCTTCCATATAGAAAACAATACCCCTTCTTTCACTTGACTTCTACATCTTTCCCTTTTACGAGAGGGGGCATGAGTTGCGAAAGGACACGCTGCGATTGAAGGGGACAGACGATTGCGGCGACTCAGCAGAGTGTTCAAGATATTCGTAGGTGTATTGGACCAATAGGTTCCGGACAAATGTTTCCTTGAATGCCAGCGGACGGTGACCCGCGGAGCTAGTAAGTGATGATCGTAACAGAAACCGACAAACTGGAGGGCCTTATCCAGAAGAGGGGACGAAAATCTGACACATGCAGCAAACTTGCGTTCATTAGCGCCGAGTGGAACTTCTGGCGCTGGCCCTCAAGAGTAATAGGGTACTGAAGCTTGAGGCTGAATTCCAACAATCCGGACTGGCTAAGCCGAGAAGGCTATGGTATAACTCGGGTGCTTTGGGGTGCTCTAGCGTGGAAAATGCGGAAAGGCATCCATGTGATGTACGCGATGCCCTTCTGTCATGGCCAACGACACCTCTGGGCCCAAGCGCCTTGCAAACTTACTTGTTTTACAGTACCCCCCACCTCAAATCTCTGTCTTCGAACAACTAGACAGATGATGGAGTCAGAAGATAGGGGTATCGATGTCGTGCATCGAAATTAGATTTGGAGGAGCCGCATCACTGTGTCCTAGTCTCACCGGCCACGCTTAGGAAGTAAACATTGCTTTGCTTTAGACTACAGGGTTGAGATATGGCGCGTGTTCTCTGCATGGGTTTACTTCGAGAAGGTTCTAACCGCAAGGAGAATCAGTCTGACGGCAAAGCCAGGCCTAGCGAGACGCCTTCACTGAGCACTCGAAGCCGCGAAGAAGCTGGCATCGTGTATTGCATCCGAATAGGTGCAAGCTCGGAAAAGAGGGTCACTATAATTGGGGCATTCCTAGGTGTGCTGCACTATCTTCCCTGACTAGCCCTGTTATGGTGGGGAGTAGCCGCTGAACTGTGCGTTCAACACCGGGAAACCGTTGTCGTCTATGAGTATCAATCATGGAGGGCTCGTCTAATCGCGCCGACGGATGGGCTTTATGAATTCTATGATAATAGAATGTGACATGGCTGGCTCCTAGTGGCGAGATGACATTGCACCTGGCCACAACTTACTATGTTCCGGCTTTTATCGAGATCGGGATGTTGCGGGTTCGGTCCGTTGCCTATCTTCTATCAATAGGAAGTTTTGGCGGACCAATGAATACCCAAGTTATGGGGTCGTCAGATATGGCGCACAATCCCCCGATTTTGACGGTCATGGTTATCCTACAATCAGCCATATGAGTATCACACAGAGTTTGGATTGTCGGCGATTCACAGTCACGATGTGTGATTATAGTCGAGCCCAGGATAATCCTGGCTGCCGTGGTGAATGCGGTCACTGCGGGCATGGAGTATGATTGCACACGCATTGTACAAGGTTGACTAGCAATTAGGCTTAGAGAACCATCTCATTGAGTCGAAAATCAAACTCGGCTGATTCCTGAACCTATGAATGGTCCAGCTCGGTCAAGCATCACTAGTTAATGAAATATTAACACGAAATGGTACTGTTTATCATTCTTATCGGATATATGATTGTGGACCCGGTGAGCTGAATGTTACAGTGCAGCGTCGAGCGTCATGGATTTTAGATGTGATGATCTGTGTGTAGGTTACCATCCATCTTGGTTGTTTTTGGGGGACTGTGAAAATGAAATGACAAAGCAAAATGACGTGTTTAGGTCAGATATTCCAGCGCTTCGCCGATAGAGAAACCCAGGAACTTGTCCTGAACTTGTCCTTGCCCGAACGTAGGACTGCATGCACGTTGGCGCAGCGACCCGACAAAACAGTGTGTTTAATGGTGCATTTCACACGACGGAGAGTGCCGGATAAGCACTCACCAAATACAGGGCCGCCTGGCGAAATGGCATCGCGTCTGACTACGATTCGATATAGATATCTATGTTTGTTGTAATCAGGAGATTGCAGGTTCGACCCCTGCGGTGGTCAATTTCTCATAAAGTCAAGTGATGGTTTTTTTTCAAAACGGGAAACATTATTATATAACTTCGGGGATATCGGTAGGTTAGGAGGGTGTGGAGTGGCAGTACGAGTTGACCATGGACGTTAGTACCACCGTCACCGCCGGCGATCATCGTGACTGATATGTATCGTCTACTGCGTCATCTGTCGTTGGTGGGATGGCATCACGTCAGACGTGTTGAGCGTGGGTTGAGGCAAATAAGTGATAGATGAGCTAGAAAAAGCAACGGTTGGGTAGTTCAGGGGGAGCGAGTGATTCGGAGGGGTTGAAGATCAGAGTGACCGGAACCTGGATGGCAGACACTTTAGTAGTGGGCGCATTCGGGTATCATTGGTTAGTGGGCAACTCGGATCTCGAAATTATCAAGGGTTCGGAGATACTGTCAGTACCTGTGGGCTGAAATGATGGAAGATATTGATGCAAAATAGTGACAAGCGTCCTGTGTCCTCAAACATGCGATTCCGCATTGGACGGCGCATTAGAGTGGACAGACAGGCAGGACGTGGAGGGAGGTAGTCATTAGTTGCTTCGTGCGGCGCATTTGGTGCATGACAGGGGGCGTCGACATGACGTGACAATTATACCCCTCTCCGCGGATCGTCGGTTTGAGGAATGAAAAGCTGGTTTGGTCGGTTTATTGAGAAATTTAATTTTAGATTTGAATGGGGGGACGGAGTATGTACGCATATTAGATAGTTGGGATGCTGCGCCGGACGGTGCGTGGGTGGCGGCACGGTGTGGCGACAGCGTTTGTGTGAACCCGTCGTTGGGTGGCTGGAGTTCTAATGAACTGGAAACCGATTTGCGTTGTGGTCGTGTGCTGAGAAACGGTATGTACGTCACTCCAGGGAGGAAATGGATAATTCAGGGTGCTAAGAGACGTCGTTCGATTCTTGATAGTCTATTTTTGTAGGTGAACGTGTACGCTATCAATTTATAAGTTGAGAGGTGGAATGGATGCGGGTGAAAGAGATACCGGGGAGGAGCAATAGATTTGCTTGTTTAGACGTAACCTGTATATACTGAGCGATTGAGTGATTGGCACGGAAATGAGCAATGGGTGTCCATTCCATCAGGCTGCGGGCAATATGCAACAGCACAACAAGTTAAATTAGGATGTTAGAATGATGGGAAGACAGGGGACTAGAAGGGACAAAAGCTCGGGAGGTGGATGACATATGATGCATGTCAGAAGCAGAAGAGTCACGGGATGTGGATCAGAAGAGTGGCCCGTTTTGCGCGCGCACTGGCAAGTAGCCGGGTCGTGTGATGGGCGGGTCGTGTGGATGATGAGCTCGACAGGGCTGGGCTGAGTTGTGCGCTGGGCCGTTGGGCGTCAGGGGCGGTGACAGGAGTCGTCAAGGAGATGCTGGGTGGTGGCTGACCGTGAGCGGTGCAAGTGTGAGATAGTCATTTAAAGGGTTGAACAGATCCAGCGCTCGAATTATTTGTGGCCAGAATACATAAATGAGGGCTGTTTGATTGCCCTTCCTTCTACCTCTCATGAGCAATCACCATGGCCCACCACAGCTGCGCAGAGCAGACGGTCTGCTCACCACAAAGGGCGTTCCCGTAGCTGCCCTCAACACCGTCCACCACCACCACCACCACCATCACAAGACCAAGTCCAATGCGGCAATCATCTCCACAATCGACGACTCACCCATATCCCCATCTTCTCCTTCTCCCACCACCAAGCGCAAGCGACAGCGCCCAACCTCTCTCTCATTAACTGTCGCTGGCGAATGGCTGCACCGCGGCGTCAAGTCTCTCGGCGGCCTCGGGATGGGCATGTCCATTGGCACTGTCGGCGGCTGGTCGAGACGGGTGTCGGTGCCGCCGGTTAATGGCACTGCGCCGGAGCCGACGCCGTTGCCGCTGCCGAGACCGAGCCAAGCCCAGGGCGGAGTTTTCACCACTATGTCGCCCGCCCAGCAGGACGTCGGCGTCCCGCAGCCCCTCCAGGAGGGCACTTGGATGACAAAGGTTTCTGGGAAGAAGCAGAAAAAGGTCTTCTTGCGACTTGACCCGGATCTTGGTCACATTGTCTGGCTCTCAAAACAACCTAGAATCAGTCAGTAGCTCTCTTCTCTGATCTTCCATCTTCCTCACAATTCCCGCAGTTCCTATAGAAAACATCAAAGAGATTCGTTCGGGCCCGTCTACCAGACTTCATAGACATCATTTTCAACTCGCACAAGACTACGAGACCCTTTGGCTCACCATCATCTACATTCTCGATGGCCACTATAAAATCCTCCACCTTATTGCCCCGTCCGAAGATATCTTTCGCATGTGGGACACCACCCTCAGACGACTCCATGCCTACAGGCTCCAACTCATGACCGGGCTCGGGAACATCGAAGAGCGCCAGCGCGTATGGGAGAAGCAGTACTGGAGGGGTGCAGACGTAGACAGGGACCAGCGACTCACCTTTGACGAGGTCGAAAAGATGTGCCGCCGGCTGAATATTAATAGCCCTAGGGAGGATCTTCAAGTCTGGTTCAAGGTGTGTGGTTGTCTGTTGCCATGCACCTCTTGACTTACAAGAGCAGCAAGCGGACGTTCAAAATAGACGTTATCTCGACTTTGAAGACTTTCGAAGCTTTGTCAAGCTCCTCAAGACACGCAAGGAGATCACGATCCTCTACAATAATCTTAAGGGATCCTCGGAATACTTTGACTTTGAAGTATTCTCTCGGTTTATGCGGCACGACCAAAGAAGTACGCTCCAACCGCAAGCATTACGCACGCTTTTCGACAAGTATTCTATCCCCGTCCCTGCGTCATCTGCTTCAGATTCCCCGCCCTCTACACCGCACCCGCTAACCTCGAAAGCAAAAGATGCGTATTTCGATTTCCGGCCTTTACCGCCTGCAATACGACGGACATTCACGCCAGAAATCTTCACTACCTTCTTGTTGTCACCCGACAACGCTCCATTTGCATCTCCCTCCCATTCCTCCCTTCCGCCGAAATCGGACGTCTTAACTTCACCTACCACTCCCACGCCCATTTCCTCTCTTGCTGCCTTTACTACTTCACCTATTACCACCCCTTCTCATCAGAGCACGGCCATGACAACCATGATTCCTCCAAGCGCGACTACATCGTCCTCCCTCCCCTCCACAAAACACGACATGACACACCCGCTCTCATCATATTTCATATCTTCATCACATAATACCTACCTCGTAGGCCACCAGCTCGTCGGGTCCTCCACAGTAGAGGGCTACATCCGTGCTCTGCTCGCAGGATGCAGAAGCGTCGAAATTGATGTTTTCGATGGATCAGGCAGTGTAGAGAATACCCCCACGCCTGGACCTTCCGCTTCGCCCATTACTCCCGCCGCAATTACACCCCCAACTGTCACACCTATATTTGAGGATGCTTCTTCGCCTGATATTCTTTCTCCTGTGAATACCACGCCGACCGCGGAGCCTATGGTGTTTCATGTTCATACACTTACGTCGAAAGTCCCGTTACGACAGATTTGTCAAGCGATTATGAAGTATGGGTTTATAGCTTCTCCGTATCCTATCATTATTTCTGCGGAGAATCATTGTTCGGTTCAAGGACAGGAGATGATGGCGAGGATTATGGTGGAGGAGTTTGGGAGTGCGTTGGTTAGGTATCCTGTGGATGGACCCGACTTTGTTGAAGGGCAAGGTGGTGGTGAGGGGTGTGGAGAGGAGGGGAATTGGAGGGGTAAAGCGAGGATTGCGCAGTTGCCCTCGCCGGAGGATTTGAAGGGTCGTATATTGCTTAAGACGAAGAATTTGATGTTGGGGAAGGCGAAGGTTGAGCAAGGGGGTGGGGTTGGTGGTGGTGGTGCGGGTGGAGTTGGGTGTGTGACTTCGAGCGAGTCGGATGTGGAGCCGGGTAGTTCTGCGAGTGAGGCGGAGGTTGGGGTGGGAGGTGGGGGACCGGGCGTTGGGATGTTTCCTTCGAGGGTGGGGTCGTATGGGGGTTCGAAGCAGGGGAAGACGAAGGTGAAGAGTGGCAAGAGGAGTGGGGATGATATTGTTCGAGGTATGTTTCTCATTCGTTTGCTTTCGAGTTGTTTGCTGATGTGCTTTAATTAGAGGGATTGATCAAAGCGAGTAGTATGATCCAACGTGTGCGTAGCGTTGGACGTGGCCCTGCACCTTCCTCGAATGCCAACCCTGCATCACCGATATCGCCCCCATTTTCGTCGCCTCAAATTACGCAACGAGAACTCATGTCCTCGCCACAGCCGCTGTCTCCGCCTCTCCCTCTTACGAGCGGTATACCACCCACTCTCCCGGTTTCTATTCCTATACCCATACCCGGGACGAGATCGTCCACATCAGGATCCGTTTCAGGATCCGTCTCAGGCTCGGTACAACCCTCATCATACCAACACTCAGTACATATCCAGCCTTCATCCATCGCCTCGACATCATCATCACTACCAAAAAGAACACCAAGTGTCACCGATGGTGTATCGGGTTCGTATACTGGAGGTTCATCTCTCGCTTCGTCTTCTCTCCATCATCCATCACCACAACTCCCGTCAACGTCTCTCCCAACACCATCCTCTCCATCCGCGCTCTCGTCCTCGCTTGCACTTGTTCGTCGGAAATCATCCAGGGCGGCGGGGTCAGGGAATCCGTTGGTCAGTGCTAGGAGTATCAAACCGAAGATGTCGATGGCGCTCATAGCGTTGTTGGTGTATACCGTCGGAGTAAAGTGTCGCGGATTCCGACGGACGCCCGGGCATATGTATTTACACGAAGACGGGGCTTCTAGTTCAGATACCAAGATTGGGAAATCCGGAAAAGTCAAAGTTGGGAAATCAAAGATCGATGATTCCACTGCACTTGGAACTGCGGGGGATGGGGTGGGGGGAGGGGAGGAGGAAGAGTGGTATGCGCCGGAACATATGTTTTCGTTGTCGGAGAATAGCGCGAATAAGATGTTGAGGACGTGTATGCTTGATTTG